AGCAGAAGGAAAGTGAAGTACAGAGCCTTTCAGGCAGGCAAGAGAAAGGAGGTGTATTTGCCATGTCAGTGACAGGGTGGAGGAGGACATTTGAGGGAAGGAAAAGACTGCAGAAACTAGCAGAGACCCAGGCAGGCTGCTGTGATTAGGATTGTCTGCCCACACAGCCGGATTTAGGTCAGCGAGGTTAGACGGCTATCTGAAGAGGGCCGCTGATTTGTGAAGCAGCTCTGCCTCCCTGGGACTGCTGCCTTGAGTTCAACTGTCCTCACCATTTCTTGAGAAAAAACCAAGTGGACATTAGTGGGACACAGGCAGGAGGAGGGACAGCCTGGCAGGGGATGAACCCTGACAATGTGCCCGTTGCCACTCTGACCCCACTCTCCCAATCCCTGGTGGCAGGATGCTGACCTTCTCCAACAACGTGGAGCCAGCCAATGGCTTCCTGGTTCGTTACCTGAGGAGGAAGCTTGTGGAGTCAGACAGCGACGTCAACGCCAACAAGGAAGAGCTGCTTCGGGTGCTCGACTGGGTACCCCAGCTGTGGTACCACCTCCACACCTTCCTGGAGAAGCACAGCACCTCAGACTTCCTCATCGGTACTGGGGTCTGGCTTCCCCCTGGGGTCCGGAGGTGGCTTCCCTATTCTACTTTACACCAGGAGGGATGCTCCCTTTTTTCCTGGAGTCTTCAGCGTGTAAGGAGTTGCAAGCCTTGTGGCTTCAGACTTAGAACCACTTAAGTGAGAAGCCTGATTGATGAGCTTGCCAGTGAGGCCGTCAGCATCCGCTGGTCCTGACAACTCTAAATTCCCTTCAGTCCTTGGGATGCCAGACCCCTCTGCCTGGTACTGAGGAGCAAAAGAGGCAGATGACTGGGGAGATTTAGATTACCTGCCATTTTCATGGCCTTCTCCTTTTCCCCAGGCCCTTGCTTCTTTCTGTCCTGTCCCATTGGCATTGAGGACTTCCGGACCTGGTTCATCGACCTGTGGAACAACTCTATCATCCCCTATCTACAGGAAGGAGCCAAGGATGGGATCAAGGTGAGCCCTACCCTCTGACTCCCCTCAAACCCCAAGAGCAGGTTGTCCTGCCTAACCAAGTAGAAACGTTTCCTTAATGTTAGGCATGAGACTTCTCGTATTAGTTAGGTTTTCTTTCTAAGAAATGCAGCAAGGGGCTGGGTAGACTAAGCTGGTTCCCTTCCTTCAGCCACCATTCAGCAAATGGCTCAGTGACCACTGCCTCTGGGGCCATCTCTCCAGTCCTAGGCCTTCTGGCTCTAAGCCCAATTCAAACCACTCTCAAAGGGTCAGAGTAAATAGAAAAATAATCGAGATAAGAATTAAGTAAAACCCTATTATAGCCTTAGCTACTGACTAACTACTAATAGATATGTTACATTGATCAAATTACCTAACCTTTTTTTAATGTCCTCATATGTAAAAAAGGAGATAATAAATTCTGCTCTACCTAAATCACTGTTTTGAAGACAAAATGAAATATGTGAAAAGATTTTTTAGAGTTAGAATAAAAACTGTGCAAAAGGAAGATGTCATTTTTTTTTTTTTTTGTCCTTTTTGAGACCGGCCGCACCGTGCTCAGCCAGTGAGCGCT